GTAATGCTTGTAATAAAACTGCCTTCTAATGGTCACTAATGTCGCTGTATATAATAATAATAATTGAAAGTAGGTCAATTTAATTTGGTCAAAAAACTTAACTAATGTATTAAGTGTAGGAACGTGCCAGACAAAAGGAACGAAAAAAACGTATTTTTATTAATTAAAAACCGGGCCGATTTCGTCCGTCAAATTATGATGTGAAGGTGATACCTTAATCATTATTTTCTAATATTAATTTATAACAATGGTGTAAAAGAAAATAATCGTCATTGAGAAAATCGCAGTCGAATCACGTATTTATAAAACGCGTTGGTCCACTACAGAAGTTGTACACTAAACTAAATTTACTTTTCCTACCGGAAGACACATTTGAATACCAGATTTTACATTCAGGACACTAGTTCTATAATATGGGATGTAAGATTCGTCCATTAAAAAAAACGAAATGCATTTTACTATATTCGACTGGGAAACGATACAGTTTGTTGTAACGTATAGGCATGTTTATTATATTGAGTATTGATTGTTGAAATAATTAGCAAAAACTGGTTTATTACTAATAGATATTTGATATTATTAGTCATTCTGTCTAAGGAGTATCTGTAAACAAGTTCTGTGCTGTACAATAACAAGGAAACTAGGCGCTTTTAATTTTTTTTTTTTAAATAATCCGGAAGTAAAGACTCCTGCAACAACATCATCCGTCGACTTTCCTACGAAATTACACTCTAACTCTACCACCACAGTAATTTTTTATTTATTCACAATCTACATAAGTCGGTCGATTTTTTATCAAGACCGTCATGATTTATTTAAATTTTGTCAAATTGAATGACATATTATAAAAAAGTTATAAAGTAATAACTAATAACAAAAATAAATTAATCATTAATATTAACTTGCTAAAATTTCACACCTAACCTACATATTATATAGAACAAAACTTTTTCATTGCGTATTAAATGTATAGAATTATTTTAGGCATTATTATTGCAAAATAATTTAACGAATAGTAGTATAATCCAAGAGTTAGTTTTGCAGAAAATTCCATTTACAATAATTAGTATGTATTATTTTATTTTAAGATTTTGTGCTTTTAAAATAATACAAATTTAAATACTATAACTATAGGTGATAATGGAGTCATAGTGTTATAATGATGTGTCCTATATCAACCATAATAATTATATAGTTGATTAAACTATACACACTTTTTTCTGTAGGTTATACAACGATAATATAGTCAGGTAATGTTTCTCAATTCCCGAAACTCCCTACTTCATAAACATAGAAAAATGGCGCATCTTTATAACTTCTTGATAGGAAAAGGAACTAAGATTTTTATGGAATACGAGTTGTGGTAGTCGACAAGCTAAAAGTCGATGGTTGTTCAGGTCTAATTTCGACTAGTGTCTGCGGGAGTCAGTATTAAATTTGCAGCGTTCGCGGTGTGATCTTTTTTTCGTGTACGCATTACTTCCTTTCTTCTTTAGTCGGATGATACACGGCCGTTCCATTACATTATATGCTCCATTAGAAAATCATCTGATCGATTTACCGTCCGACGACATTAGCATTTGGCTGTGGTGAATCAATTACCGTGCTGTAAATAATACATCAGATACACACATATTGTGTTCTCTCTGAAACAAGTACGGACACCATCTACAGCATTTAACCTAAAAATTTTCGACGGCGTGCGTTATGTAGGTCGATCGCCGATCAAACGGTTATTTAAAGAGTCTCGTGATGTGTAAAAGTGTGAACTGTCCGAGGAACCGATGGACGACGATCCGAAATTCTCTTTTTAAGTCAACCCGAGAATCCGATAAAATAGTTAAGAGCCACCGGCGTCCATTAATAACCCTTTAATTAAAACCTTAAACGTTTTATTTTATTTTGCTAGAAATTCGCTTAATTATTATCGTTTTATTCATACTATATTACCGGTAAACAAGAAAAAGCAATTCAAAACTTATGAAAAAAAAAAAACAAAGTCTATTCGGAAGTAATAACAAATCACCGACCTACGGAAATCACGTACACCGGGATTATATTATTCTTTGTAATCCGAATATAATAATAATAATAATAATACTTTACTCGTAATAGAAGCAGTAATATTTTAGCATCGCCAGATTTGTATAAAGTGGTTTTCGAAAAAGTTGATAGTTTAAAATCATATGAAAAATCTACCGACAAACGCTGAATAGAAAAGTGTGTAACGCGGAGATACATTAACATACAAAAACGATAACCGGAAATTGTCCAAATACGAGAGCCATTCATACATTATGGCAGTGATCACATTACGTTATTTCCTTTTCATCTCGACACACTGATGGTAAGATGGAAAGTAAATCCCAACCTGGCTTGGTTTATGGCGAAAACTAATGCTAACGCATTATATGATCCATATTATGACATATATATAATAATATATCGTATATTTAATGGTTTAGCGATTCGTTGCTCAGAAGCATGTTGTATGTGTTAAACTTATCGATAAAAACATTATGTTATAATAAGTGAATAGAATATGTATTTTGAAATTTGTTGAAAAAAAATGAAAATGTTAATATTATTAAAGAGGACGATCGTAGTGAGGAGCGAAACTTCACCCGAGACGTTTCCAATAATTACTGCAGCGGGAGAGCAATCTCCGGTGGTGGGACTTGTAGCTAAGTATTTGACACCAAAAATGTTAGCACCTACTGAGGCAATCTGCTAAAACCTAGGGGCGTCCTTGTTATGTGAGATATTTAAAGCAATTATTATAAGTTTTTTTACAATTTTGTAAAGATGAGGATAAAGGACAGCTGTTGATGTTCTATATACGAATAATTATAAGAAGTAAAAGTAATGTTCTCTTAATCAATTTCACAGCATAGTTAGAAATCTTAAAAGTATTCGATAATGCAAATACGATCGTTTTTCACAGTTTCGACCTTGCTTATTCAAAAAAACAATAACCACACAAACAAGAAAAGGTTGATTGAATATCCGGTTGAGCGTGTAACGGGAACTATTTCAACCAAGTCTTTAGATATTAGATGTTGCGCTCAGATAAAATATTTAGAATTTCTTAAAAAATAATTTAAAAACTATTCCCATTTTCCATCAACCCGATATTTAAACTAAGTATAAATACTTGCTGACTTGAGTATAAATAATATCAGTTTTTACTATTATTATTACTCAAAATTCACTTGCGAAAGCATGCCTACCAAAAAGAAAGTAACTAAAACAGTTTGCAGTTACACTTAAAATATTTCATACATTAATTTCTTGGGTATATCAGAAATAATATTATCTCGTTACTGTGTATTTATTTATGTTTTATTTATTATTAACATTTTTGGTTACTAAATTATTTATTAACAAAAACACTTTCAATGCTTAAGTGCCCAGAATAACAATCGGTAACGGCTAACGGTGATTAATAATAATATATCCGTAATGTAGTGAGTATCCAGAATGACCAATCACAAAGTTGTTATATTTTTTTTAATGTATAATATGTGTTGCAAATCAATGTGTATTCGTAAAAATGTAAATAATTTTGTCTATTATAAATAAAATGCTGATCAAAAAATATTTTATTACATTGATCCGTTCATTAAAAATACATATTATTAGTATCGAATATACTGCACAAAATAATAAAACAGATTTAATTAAGTAGTTAAGGGTTAATTATTAATTTAAATATTCGATTATTTTATAATTTATAACCCCTTGTGTTGCTTAAGTTTTATTTGTATTATTTCAAAAAGCTCAAATATTATATGATATTTAAAACTCCAAACATTTGTACCACCGCGGTAATTAAATACTGCGGCATATTATACGGTGAATAATGTATGCTTATAAGTAGAACACATTGTACATTTTGTACGTTAAAATATGAACATTGTTTTAATTGCATGAATAACACCGGTCAAAAAATGTTTATAATTGGTTTCAGTCTAGGTTCTGTTTACTGTAATAATATTTTGATTGTGCATATTGTCAAGAAACATCGATAAATTGTCAAAAATACATTTATTTATAACGTTATTTTAATAAGGTAAGTTAGGTTAGTGTAAATAGGTAGAAATGGGACTAAAAAATCGATTTCCACAAATTTTTCTAACTATATAAAAAACTTATTGTAACACGTATTTTAGATCAAGTTTGTAAATATGTATTTAAAAATAAAACATCTATTGAAAGAGTTAGTAAGAAGATAAAACTGAATGAGAAAATGTATAGATTCGGCCTGGAATGGTTAAAAGTGGTTATTTTACTTTTTTTTAAAGTTGCTAGTTTTTATTTTATATTTATTTTTGGATAATAATTACTACATTTTCCAAACCGTCCAATCCCAAGTGACCAATGTGTGTGTGTGTGTGTGTGTGTGTGTGTAACATCACAATAGGTTCATGGTGCGAACGCGCTTCCAATATCGCTAGAGAAGAGCAACAAACCATTATGATGTCTGCCTACCACGGTTGTTAATAAATCATACGGGATTATAAACTCAACCGTTACAGTCGGCTGTCAGCCGTGAAGGATATTGACAATATTTGATGCACTGCTCACATCTGCCTGTGTATTTTTCATTTGCCCATCAATAAAATATATTTATTGTCAAAAGAGAAATTCGTATTGTTCGAAGCTAATGGTAAGCGAAATCTAGTTACTGTGTATAATAGTAGCTTTATTACAAGTAAATCTGTTTTGTCCGGCGAGACCGTATGCACATATAGCATGGAGTCTGGTAATAAATACACATCATGTTATGTATATAGGTATGTGTAGTGTGTACACTGTACTACAGTATATGTAGTATAATAATGGTCCAAGCTCAACGTGTCATCGATCCACCGGAGCCATGACGGACGACGGTAAACGCGAGACATTAATAAGGATTTAGCGAAAGGAATTTTATTCTTCGAACGACGTGTATAAGGAACGATGTATTTATTATTATTAACACTATCGTTTGTGCTTACCGTTGACTTGTATGGTAGACTTGATGGCGACAAGTATGGCTAAGCAAACGACATATAAGTCCATCCTCGAAAACCCCATCTGAAAACAAAAAGAACATCCAATTATATTTTATGGTCAAGGGGCTGGAAAAAAAGCTGAAACTCCGGATGCGGTACAGAGGTTTTTTGTGCACAAAATACGTAAAGCATAATTATAAAAGAAAATAATATGTAGGATCGTTGTGAAACGAGATCTTTGTTACTATCGTAGTGCCAAAGTAATAATTGATTACAAATCTGAAACGAGTCGAACGACTATGTTATACATTAAACGTTCTATATAGTAACGCTAGATATTTAATAATAATTATTAGGTGGTATTGTTGTTTTTGTGTGTTAGCAATTGAGCGCATCCGCACAAGGTAGTGGATATAAGCGATGGCCGCAGTCCGCGTGGAGAAAGTAAACGGAATATGTATTTGTTTTGTTTTGTTTTTTTCATTTCATTCCGAACGACCCGTAGATACTTTAATGTCTATAACGCGAGTCTTAACGACCCAATGACATGCGTGTCTCATGGTCGGGCCGGGACGTTTGACGAGGTAAAGAGGCGAGGGGAAATTACACGAAGAAAGTGAAATCCCTAAGGAAACTCAATTAAAAATAATGTTTTTTTTTCTTATCGTCTCGTCGCTGAGTTCTTTAGGGAAAAAATTCACCATAACTGTTTAACGGTTTTAATTACCTCACATGTCCATTAAAACCGCCGCGACACGTCACCGAACCGTGTTTGTTATTGTTCGCGTTTATGTACCTACACGACGAGCTAGCTGTACGTGCCCATGAGAGTATTATGTTTTGATTTTTTTTTTTTTTTACATTTTCCGTACACAATTACAACACAATCACGTAAGTCTCGCGAAAATGACACTTTAATTTTCGTACTAATTCCGCTGTATATAACGAATGTATACACTATACATTGAAGTAACCGTCATGCGATCGATTAAGTATGAAGGTACAAGGGATATGGTATTCAAAAAAACCGAAGTGACAAAATGCATTATGTATAAAGAGAAAACGCACGCAAATTTGGGGCCCGATGACCATTATTGTTTAATCATACACTTTTTAAAATTCAGTAAATATACTTTCATAAATAATTACTACGCTATTATACATAGTTTTGTAATGAAATTGTTCTACCTCGCAAGAATTTATAATTATTTATTAAAATTGGATACACCTACCTATATGCAGGAGAGATTACAGTGATAAATAGTAAACTTGTTGTTTGTATGAGGACCTTTTTAAAATGTTTTTGTTTCGAATTATTATTTGAAATGCTTTATCCGTGTACTATTATGTTCATTATAGGTATAACCCTTCCAGTTACATTCGTTTCATGTGCAGAATTCTCCGGCAGTATTTGAAAATAACAACCTTTCGTATTTAAATAAAAATAACCAACTGTGATTGCTTAAGATATTATGTTTTATGTACGTAATAATTGTACCTATAAATGAATAATCAATTCAAACGTACAGTATCGCTATTATATTGGTGTTGCCAAGTCAATAATCGTTCTGTGCTTAATGATAACGATCATCAGCTTCAATATATATAGTTATGTGCATTTAAAAATGTTCCATAAAATTGAGAACTCTCAAAGCTAAAAATGCATATTTAGTTCAAAAAACAAAACAATTTTAAAAGTCGAAAAATATCTAGTGGTAGAAAACTTCCAATATGAGCGATTATATTATAGCCTATATCATATACATTTTATTTTTGTACTTAAGTCTAAACTCTCAAATTTACTCCAACTGAATGTGTTACTTTATGATATAACACATTAATTTAAAAAAATGGAGCAGGCTTATGAGCTAAAACTATAACTTGAATAGTTTTTTTATACATTACATTATGGTTGATTTGCTTTTAACCATTTTAGATATTTGGCTTGTTGGTAAAATATAATTTATTATAGCCAAAATCATAATTTACGAATCGCACTGAATCAAATAATATATTCGTTTTTTTTTTACAAGTAGGTATGCTTATGTAATGGTTATTATACTTATTAATTACTATTTTTGCAATACAAAATCATGATGATAATTTATATCTAATCCTATTATAATGTATACATAATAATGCATAATATAATATTATAACTGTTTTAAAAAAAAATTTGAAAAGCAAAATAAAATGACCGCCGATAATACAATTTCTATAAACTCGGTAACCGTTGATAATTTAAAAATTAGTATCGAACATAAAAACAAACAATTTTTTCACATACAACTCGAAACAGGAAAAATGTTTTATTCTGATTTTCTAAGTATAAATGATTTAAATCGACGCTGCCATAAATCACTAGACGGATTAAAGCGTGTAATATGAGTAACAACAGAAAAACGATTCCTGGCAATGTGAAAGCTAGAATATTAGATAATTCAAAATTGGTCGCGTGAAATATTACAATAACAATGTCTCGATTAGTTTGAATATATTATTACAATCTAAAAATTAAATAAATGTCTCGTTTCTTATTTTTTAAAAAAAATACTAAATTATTATTTTACATTCTTCAAATTTGTATAGCATATTGGTGTTTATTCCTAAATGTATTAGTATTACTTAAATTAACAATGTTAATGTTAAAGTTCAAAGTTTAATATGATGTAATTAACGGGTTGCATGAAACGTTTATTTACTACTTATCTTAATAACAAGATTTAAAAAAAATTGTTTTAAACATTTTAGGATAACTAATAATAATTTGCTTATGCCGAATAACATAATAATATACTGTAACTATACTTATGCTACATACATTATACACATATAAACGAATACTTTAATCTTAAAATAGACATAACATATTGTAATAGTCATCCTGAATATAAGCGGTAATGGCAAAAAACATCCTTATCATAAAACCGCTACAGATCAGTCTGAACTGCACGATTTTATGATCTGTACGATGAGTGATATCTGTGTTAAGCAAAATGAAATTATCGTGACGTTGAGCAAAACAAAGAAATCGAGGTTTTGTCCTTTCTAACAATATATTCCATAAAAATCTAATAGTGTATTATTCTATTCTGTTCAAGTTCTCTTTCGTCAACTATTATAAAAAGCATAATTTTAATTTTCATAATATTTAGTTATCGAAAACACTAATAAAAATTATAAAATATTTTATTACTATATTTAAGAACAATGGGGTTGTATAATTAATAACTGCTAAGGATTTAAATTTTTGAGTAGAAACCATAAAAACCATTGTATTGTATTGTGTTATTAATCCCATTGAACATGTATTTTTATATAGGTAGTCTTTGTACCAAACCTTTTTATAATTTAAATGACAACAGCGTTTACACTTTTATTTTATTAAGAATACCCAGGGTCGATCCTGCTTGAAGTATTTCCACTATACTTATGGACGAGAAGGCCATGATACCGATGTGACTTGCATAAAACTAATACAATTATTGGAAAATAGTTTATTTATTAAGATTTGATAAAAAAACAACATAAGTACAGTGTGATATTATTATATTACAAATTGCAATATGATCATAATTATAATAATATATGAGCTGTTGAGAGCAAAGTGATGTAAGTCACAAAGTTTTAAAGTAGAAATGCTGTACACGTTTTTTTTACGAGAACGTAAAAGTTCCTTGGCCATCTAGTGAAAAACAAGCAAAGAACTCACACTACTTTCGCAGGCAATAGATTGAAGGTAGAATTATTGTGTGGTAGTGTTACTTCAGATTGAGTGAAAATGTGACCTTAACCACTTTTGCTCTCAATGGCTCATAAATTATTTGCAAAAGAAATACTTTAAATGTAAAGAGTAATTTTATCTAAATTGTATTTTTATTATAAAAGCTCGTTAAAAAGTTGAAATTTTTCTTAGTTGTAAGTTGTAACATATTATCTTGTTGAAATAATTATAATCCTATGTGTAGTGTTATTAAGTGGGGTAAAAAATGATTTTTATTAAAAGTAATATTATAAAACATAGTACTTACAATAGAATATAAACTAAAATTATATAAAATGTGCAAATTATACATATATTAATGTTAATCACAGAATCTGTATAAAACTATAATAAGTATCTAATGGAAGTAATAAAATACATTATTCGTTATTAATTGTTCAAGAAATTAACGTGTGACGCTGAACAAGTTTGAGTGAAATCAGTATATAAATAACTACTGCATAAACTAGGGTGTTAACCATTTTCTAGTGTCCTATATAATTATTAATATTATGCTTATTGTTTACACCATGAAGTAGCGTCCTAGTATACACCACTGGAAATTTGCTCCCACGCAAATTACTTCATTAGCTGTAGAATAATAAATATGTGAAATTTTCCTTTTTCATTCATTCAGAGTTTATTTTATTCGTAGATTCTATCCACCAATAACCAGGTAAGACAAGAAGATAATTAATTTAAGTCAATCATGCCATTTTTTAATAATTTCTGAACGATTTAGCGTGACGGAATTTAACTAAACTCGAAAAAAACGTGACTATACTGTTTTGTCGACACCTAAAAAGATCACTAACGATCCGGATCCAATTTCGTTCACCCACGAAGAAGTTGTTGTCTATTACGTATTGTATCATTATTTTATTTCCTTGATGTTCTTAAATTACACTTAAAAAGAACTGTGCGAAGGCTTACTACTACAGATAATTACAATAATCTCGATTAAACTAGATTATTTTAACCTTAGCTTTCTCGAAATATCAGCTATAGAACTCAAAATTATTAAGAATGCGACTTGCCATTAATTTTTTACCTCCATCGTTTGGATGCGTGAGAAATAATAAAAACCTCATCTAATATTAATTATTATTATCCAATGATGGTAATGTTTAGATTTTGTACCTTAACGATATAATTGATTAAAAGATTCCAGTTTTTGAACATTAAAAGGTTTGTTCATTGTTGGGTTCTGTCATCTGGTTACTGCTCCGTAACTTATTTAAGTTCCATTACTAACATTTTTGGTTAGATTCAAAGTCTCGATTGTGGTATTATATTATAGAATACCTTAGTCTAATTTT